CCTACCCCATTCGAGACAGGAGAAAGCTGGTTCGAATCCAGTCAGACCCACCCACCACTCTCTCTCGCGGTGATATTGTATTTGTGGGATTATAAAAGCACACTCGGATAACCACAGGTTTTTCACGCTTTTCCCTGCGGTGGGTATGCACGGAAGAGGTTATACGCCGTAAGGGTTAATCTCGAGTGGTATCTGCAAATGAAATCTGAGTGTGAGTGCTCTAAACGTCAAATTGAGTCATCCTACTTAAAGTACATGTCTTCCGATAAAAACCTGCATGGGCCTCAAGGCGCCAAATCAGGGTAATGAATAATTATTATTATTATTCCCCTCGGCCCATGCCCTAGTGCTATGGTGAATAGGTGCCTACGCATGCAGCCCGATGTAACTAGTTGGCTCAAACGCTGCTATTATGAGCAGCCGAGTACTGCTGTGGCTCGGAGGATCATTTATCATAGATACTATTAAGGAAATAATGACCCCTCAGTCATTGAGGTTGTAGAGCGCATTGATTCAAGCAACTACCGAAGTGAAACTAAGTACAGAATTTGCAGTCACGTGCAGATCAACAACGTGGCCCACTTGATAGCTCCAATTATTCTAAATTCTAACAGATATTTCATGCCCAAGAAACTTTATCGCAAATTCATTTCATGTTATGGAGCAGGATAACCCTTCTATAACCCTTTGCCCAGAAAAACGAAAGGCTTTGGCAATTCAGGTTTGGACAGTCAAAGGCCTCAGGTATCCAGGGCAGTAAGCTTTGGCGTCTTATGTCCTACTTAGGATTTATATTAGATAGACGTAAAATAATAAACCAAACCATCTAACAGATATTATTTATTCGTTTTATATCCCTACGGGTTAGTGGCCGGTCCCAAATCAGAGGATAAATAATACCTCCTCATCCTCCTCCTCCTCGGACGTCAGTGTGTAGGGAAACCTAATATGGCTACCTCGCACAACCTGCTCAGAAATAATCTCCTCTATGCTGATATTGCTAGACAATGGTGGCAATTATGGCACATCCCGGAATATATAAAGCGATTCCGGTCAAGTAAGAGCCACAGGCGACGTGGAGTCAGTGCAATTATTGTGGTCCATTGCGCTCATGCAGGTTCAGAAGAACGTGTCGTGATGATTCAAGGCGCTCGTCACAACAAGGCATCGTGCGGACGACGGCTGAATACACGTCAGTAGTGACCTATGGGGGCCTGGGGTATGGAATGCTCGCTTGGAGCCGAGCCTCAGACCCGAAAAGGAACGAATCTGAGTAATGCCGACGGAACGGGGGTCGGAGGTGTTAGCCTGGCCTGTGTGCATTCAAATACCCGACCTACACGATGTCATGACGGCACAAACAAACGACTTCTATCGTTTTCAGACCAAATGTGAACCACTGATAGACTTAAGCCCAAGCTCATCTCGGTTGAACGACAACTGAAACTACAAAAGTCTATCCTAGAGCCGGCCAATTCTAACCGATCATTCATGTCAAAAACATTGTATGGGATATCAAAACCCGCTCAATCCCCCGAACTGTGAAGCTACAGACGAATTACTCCGATTAGGGACGTCTTCACCAGGACCAAGACTGCCAATGGCAAACTTGCAACGACATCTGGCCGGCAAATCAACAAAGGCATATCATAAAGGCTAAGCCATCAATATCTCGGCTTTGGCCTCTTATTCGTGTACTAGAGTTCTATGATTAGTGATGTGCTGGCGACGGGGCTAGGCCCAAGGGCTGATCAAAATTCATTGTCCAATGCTGGAGAGTTTAACTGATGAAATGGGAGGTGTGTCGCCAAGGAGGCCATATTAGATGACGAGATGGGACTCTATTTGGAAATCCGATTCCTGGACGAGATTGTTGGAAATGGAGGCAGAGGGTGTTGTGGATGTACGGGCCCTCCATTTTGTCTAGGTTCCCGATACGATATTGTGTGTATAATAGAGGTTGGGATGGGTAGTGTAGAAGCGCTTCAGGCTACCTATGGGATACATGAGCAGCTGCATTGCGTGGGCGTAATGAGATTATTGGGGGTTTTTCATATCTAGATCGCGCCACATTCGTTTAAGCTGTGGCTTAGGCTTTTTTTTTGAATCATTTAATGTGTATGCAGCTATCGAGCTATGACATATGACCGGTGCCATGTATACATGTAGGATGACTCTTTTGACGTAAGAGACACTCACACTCTGGATTTCATTCGCAAATACCACTATGAGGTATGCTTGCTTACACAAACAGTCGTCCCTCCTCTGTAAGTACCCACCAAAGGGAATTTCAAATCCTTTGGTTATCCAAGCATGCCTTCGTCATACATGCATACCAGCGTCTTGAGAAAAGTGATTGTGTTTTGCCGTATTTGAAGCAGAAATCTACTGTCTCGAGTGTGATATGTGCCGAAGCTACCCAGAATCTACTTGGCAGACCGGCCCAGGCGAAGTACCACCGCACCATCCAGCCATGGCGGTGTTTATAGTGTCGCCTGCACTCTCGCAACCGAAGCCTTGGCACGCACAAAGGTCAATTTGTAAAGATTCCTTTTCAAAATTCGAAATTTCACACCCGTCGAGACTGTCTCCATCCTCTGCATCATCTTGTGAAATTGTCCTGAATCCTCTCACGCTCATCCCAAAGAACAGTCTCCCAGATTTTTGCGCCACGCTTTGTTTCCTCCGTCGGGTGTAAATATCGGCGTTGGCGTGTATTTGGTAACCGGCTGAGGCCAGAGAAAGTCGACAAGAGGTGTGGTCATTAGAATGAGGAAGTACTATGTCATACTTGTAGACTTGATGAGGCTTGGATAGGATTCGGACTCGTTGGGAGCGAAAAATTGACGTGGTGGAGTAGTTTGAATCATTGCCTCGTGGGCCAACTTGTTCGGTATTGCGAAATTTGACTGAACTTGGCTCTGGGAGAATATTTCACTCCCAGGTTCGTAGAGGACACCGCGTACAGGTGTTCTATCTTGCCCATCTCGCGTACACTTGTACTTGTAGCGCACACTTCCCACTCTTTTAGCTGTAATTCGAACATGACACCCATGTGGTCAATTTCTTCTCTCGTTTCACAAACATTGTGCCCATTACATTGCGCGATATTTCCAACAGAGATTACAAAATTTGGAAGCGAAGGAACCCCGGTAATGAAAAGAGAAGAAATGCAGTCATTGGAAGGCAATGCGGGATTCGGGCACTCGGTGGACAAGTCAACCTTCTACCAACAACAAGCGCACGACCTCGCGGAGGCTGGGATCTCGACACCATACGTACAAGTTCGTCCGAAAGAACGCCATACCCTTGACCTGTCAAGGCGGAGGGCAAGACTGAACACCTGTACGCGGTGTCCTCTACGAACCTGGGAGTGAAATATTCTCCCAGAGCCAAGTTCAGTCAAATTTCGCAATATCAAAGAAGTTGGCCCACGGGGCAAAAATCCAAATTACTTATCCACGTCGTTGTTTCGCTCCCAACGAGTTTGACTCCTATCTTCGTCTCATCAAGTCTACAAGTACGACCAAGTACATCCTCATCCCGATGACCACACCGCTCTTCGACTTTCTCTGGCCTCAGCTGATCACCAAATACACGCCCACGCCGATATTTATACCCGACGGAGGAAGCAAAGCGTGGCGCACAAATCTGGGAGATAGTTATTTGAGATGGACTTGAGAGGAATCAGGATAAGTCGACATGATGATACGAAGGAAGGATAAAACCTCGAAGGGCGTGAAATTCCGAATTTTGGCAAGGAGTTTTTCGAATTGGGCTTTGTGCGCGCCAAGACTTCGCTTGCGAGAGTGCAGTTGACACTATAAAAACAAGCAAACGATGGAAGGTGTTGTGGTCCGCCTCCTGGTGGTGTTCTCTGGTATGGTTTGAGTAGCCTGGGCACCTACTCCACTTGGGAAGGAGACACCTCAGATCACATATCGCGCGGAGAAAGGTTGAAAGATGATGGAGGCATGTCTGGATAACCCAGGGTTTTTGAGATGTTCCCCTGGGTGGGTATTCACGGATGAGGGTTGACTTGGGGTGAAGAAAAAGCCACCATAACTTTGCAGTGGTACTTGCAAATGAAATCCGAGGCATGAGTGCTCTTCTTGTAAATTGAGTCATCTATCATACACTTCTCTGATATTGTGTCATAGCTAGATAGCTGCATACGCAATTAAAATCTGATGCAAAAAAAAAAAAAAAAAAAAAAGACCTGTCAAGGCGGTGAATCAGCGCCCCGCTTGAGCTAGGGCTAATTTCGACCCAGGATGCCATGTCGAGCAGGTGGGGCGCAACGAAACGGTCTCCACGCATTGTCTTGCTTTGGACCCTTTCACTGAGGGCCGTACTTACTCATTTAGGTGGCCAAGAGCAGTCACACCAAGAACTATTTGGGTCTTCAGCCACGCGAATTGAAGGAACCAAAGCGGATAATGATTTGGATCTACAGAAAATGTTATGACCCGAGACTAAATGCATCAACTCCGGTGCCAATATCTCCACCAAAAGGCCAATCCAAAATCAACGGTGCCTTGGAGTCAGGTGTCATCAGTAGAGTCGAAGCCATCTTTTGGGTCGCAAGAGGTGGTTGATAGCACCCGGTTACGCTGTACGACTATTTCGTGACAGGAAGGTCCAGCAATAGCTCTTTCGGAAACCCACAACTCCGAGTGCCACTACACCGAGCGTTACTTGATTGGAAATCATGCGTTCTGACGAATACCAACAAAAGATTTCCCCCAAAACAACCAAGAGACTATGCTGCAAAGCTAGTTGTGATCAAAACTTTCATTAGAATTATGTTACTTAACCTATCTTTACCCTCGGTTCCAAACCACTTGTATCCTGTATCCTTTATTATTGTATGAAAGCTATTCAGTCCAGCAGTGTTTAGTGAACACTATTGGAGAGTTTATTAGTGTATTAGTAGTGTTGAATGCTGTTCTGGCGCAGCATTTGATAATAAGTTACCGCAAAAATCGCAAGTCATGGCTCTACAACGAGCATTCAGCATCCCCCATCTGTGTACAGTAAACCATTTGTACGGGCCCGGGAGTAATTCCACGGAGAACCATCCTCTCTCGCATCTCGGATAATCGCGGGGACGCTGTAATCTGGCTGCGATTCTGCCCATTACAGTCTTCCCTTCCGCTCCATAGAACCTCACCTGCGGCCGATGCGCGAGGCCATACCATATCATCAAGGTTGACAGGGTCAGTTTGCTCTGACCAAATATGCACTTCACCGCCAAGAACCAAGTGCTGTTGTTCTTTTGGTACACCAGAAAGAGGGTTAAATGAGTATACTAGTCGCCAATTCTTGACAGGATCACAATAATCTTTGAAAGGATAATAATGCTGGTACGAAGCTCCATTTTCAAAATCGATCCATTGTCCCTTACCACAATCAAGGTACTGCACTCAAGTTAGTGGAAAACTGGAAAAGGTTTTTTAAGATTCTCACCCAGGCATCATAGTTCCCAGTTATAACTTTGTGCCCCTTGGCTGTCACGGCTGAGGTAGATTTATCACTGAGCCACGTTTGAACTACGACATCAGAGTGAAGGGTAAGATTCCAGTCTAGTGCCATTTCCTCCCATACTATTGGTGTGAGACCAGCCGCACGAACCTGATTATGAACACGGTCAACGAATTTTTGGAGGAATGGTTGAATAACAGAAGTTTCGTTGGAGCCAACCGTCTCATCTAATAGATATACTTGCTTATTGACTTCGTCACCACCGGTATGGAAGTATGAGGCGTGGGGAGAAATTCGTGGTAGAACATCGGCCATGAGTTTTGAAACAAACTCGTCCACCGGCTTCGAATTCAGCTTCAAGGAGCCGCAAGGAGGTTCGGCACAGTAAGTACTCCATGGTACCGCTCGAAACCCAGCAATTAAGTTTGGGTATGCATAGGCAATTGATGCTGTGTGACCGGGCATATCAAATTCCAGGATAACCTGTACACCACGCTGGAGACCGTATTTGTGTATAGTTGCAATATTTTCGGGAGAATACGATAGACCAGTGGCGTAGGAACCTTTTTTTGTCAAATCAGGCATGCTAGGAATTTCTATTGGCCACGACTGCGAATCTGTCATATGGATATGAAGACGATTAAACTTGTTCATTGAGAGTGCGTCAATCGTACGCAGAATATCTTTAACAGGGAACCAATTCCTGGCAACATCCATATTGAGGCCTCGGTGAGAAAACTTTGGTGCGTCAACAACCATGATTGGCGCCTGGTTTGTATAAACACCTTTATCAGAAGAATGCTTGTAAAATAGCTGGGTCATTGTTTCTAGTGCACGCAAAATTCCGTGGGTTGTTTCGGCCGAGATTTCACTCCGTCCGTCTTCGGCTATGGAGATTTTATAAGACTCGTCTACTTCATTTGGCCCCTTGACACTGGAGTTGGTCTGGCCAGTTTGGGTGACACCGAGATGTTTTATATACGTCCGAGATGCTTCGAGGTTCGGCTCAAATTTTTCTAATTCATTACGAGGATGGAATTTCCAGGGAACAATGCTTTGCTTCAAGATTGTTTCCAAAGTACGATTGACTGCCTCCATTACGTCTATTCGATCGCCGAACGTCTGCGGGGATGAAGCTTCGGATACCTATAAATCGAAGGTCAGTGGGGCTTTATTCTTCGGACGAGCCAAGGATATGGAGAACTAACATTCAGGCGGTTGTAGGCAACGGTAACTTTTGGACTGAGCCATAGAACATTGCTACCGGTTGTATACTCCTGAGGGTCAGGCCAAATGGCACTGACGGAGTAGCACAGTAAGGACAGTGTGAGATGAACTAGCGGTGAAAACATTTTGTCAGTGGTCAGTGATGGTAGCTATCAATGAGCGGGCAGGGAAAGGCTTCTTAAGCAACTGGAGTAGAGAGCTGGATGAATGGACAAGGCAACATAATAATAATAGCTCATTGGCTAAGGAACGAGGGAATTGAAAGAATCTAGTTTGGGGCAGGTATGAGGGGAGTCATTAGCCCTGGCTTGTCAAATTTCCCATAAAGCAGTCTTCTCTGCAGAGACGTGGGTGGTGTGAATATCAGGATCGATGAGGGATAGGACTAGAGAGGGTATCTATGTAGATTAGATTGGATGTTATAAGAGACTGCGTCCGTCAGGCATGGCCAACATTGCTCGATTTAGTTTAGCTTGACCATGGACCCGGTGCGGAGACGAATCGAAAATCATTTTTCTGGGGCTTCATCGGACCCTCCCTTTTTGACCCTGGTCTGAAGCTTTTCGCCCGTGGGGCAGTTGGAGAAGTTCGACCGTTACTGAGGGTAAGGAATGAAATTGATCTCTCTACTTGGACTGCGAAATCATGTCTTTCATTCTCTTCCGCCTTCGAACCTAGGCTCATGATACAGACTTTTCCACGCTCTTCCAAGGGTGTCACCGACTCGAGCCAATCCATCCATCATATCCGTTCATAGTGCGGGATGAAGATCATGCCGCTTGAAACCCTTTGCTTGGCAAAAACCGTTTGTCCGTGTCATGTTGTGCAGTGAAGCTACGGGTAAAGTTTATCCAGAACTATGCGGAGCCAGGGCAAGCAAGGTTATTTTGAGTTGCTTGGTTCGACAGGGTTGGCGGCGTTGATTTGCATAATGCTGTCAGAAATCTCATGGACCGGAATGTCCTTGATTAATAGCTTATGTATGGATTCAATGCAGATGTGGGCGGAAGGTTGGATGATGTAATTGTGCAAACATGGGCGACAATCGCAAACTCGAAACACTCTATCTCATGTGACTGGTTATGCACCCTGTGTCTAGGCTTTTACTTGGAAACAATCGTTCATGGTAATGGACGTGGACGTGAGCGACTGGCTGCCCACCGCCCCTCACCCTTTACATGTTATCTGCTATAGTATGCGTCAGGGTTGAAGGCTCCCTGACGATTCGATTTCATGAACGACTGACACTTTAAATCCCAATTATTTTCGTACACTGAACTGCGAGGAATTGCTGATTCCGCAAGGCCGCGGGAGTTCAACCATCTCTGAGCGGTTTCAGTCTTCCCGAGGGAAATCTCCAAAAACTCTTGGCAATCACAGCATCCTTCGAACATATTTCTCGCTCAAAGGCTGATCCTTCGGAATCCATTCGTAAGAAGTGACCAACCCCATATTTGAAAACCTGCATTACTGCAAGACCCATACAGCAGTATTTAGTAATTTATGCTCCAAGACTTTGCAGTACATCTGATCTAAATATAGCTTAGCATTTCCCACAAAAGAATTGCGCGAAACTCGGTTAATTTTGCTAGACTCGGATATTCATCATTCGGCCAAAGATTCATGCAACTAGACTAGTTACGGCATCTAATGAGACAAGCCCAAGCTTTATTTACAGCGGCTAGTATTTATGATCTCACTAGAAGATTGGTTCAGGTTCCAGACTAAGGGACGGAGATTGAGCGCCAATCCAAATTCTAGTCAACGATTTTGAGAACAATCAACAATTTACGTCTCGAGACTAGGTCCGAGTTTACAACGGAAATGATGCTAGTTTGTGACACAAAAGTCCAATGAATTTCCACTATTCCCATCTGCGCACACTGAAAAAGCATGACTCCATTTATTATCCTATACCACAAATGAGTTTGATGTATTATGCCTTCACTTCATTGGTCACATTAATGATCTGGTCGATGTGTGGCCAAAATCAAGTTCTATCCTTCCACATGCAATACTAGAGATTCCAATCGAAGGAACCACATTGCAGAGCATAAGCATGGCAGTGTAAATCTTAAGAACCTCAAGGAGAAAATGATTTGTAGACTAAATTAGGGTATATTTTAGAGTTTAATGATGTCCCACTAAGATTAAAGAAGGTTCACCTGGACAGTCTAAAAATACGGGCTATCAGAATCTTTAAGTTCCAAGCCAAGCTTGAAGTCCGTTTTAGGTTCAGAATTTGTAAAGCAGCCGGGCATCACTAATAATAAGCCCAGCTCATCCCAACTACGTAAGTTGTAATCCAAACAGCAGCAGGTTGAATAAATAAAAGTTTCGCCCATAATAGCATCCTAAAATATACCGATTCGTGTCACCTCCACATAAACGTTCTTACCTTCGCTGGGGGCTACCTTCTGTAGATTAGAGCATAGCCTAACACTTCATATAATTCATCGAGGTTTAATTTCGATACCTCCGCTGTTCTTTCTATATGAGATGAATTGCTAGTAGTGATCCCTGACTCGTTCGCAATGGCACAATTTTGCGCTACATCCGATTGCGTTCATTGATTCACCTAATATCCAACAACTGCGAAGGCAATTTTGTGGGGAAAAGTTAAGTTTAATCAAGTCCAGATGCAGAGGCTATTCCTTTCAGAATGAAGTACTCAAAGGCATTAACTACGCCCGTTTCAGGAATGTTCAAGAGATGAGGCTTCTTGCAGTAATATACGCATATACTTTAATTACCCTGATTTGGCAGCACAAGGGCCCATGCTGGTATATTCGGAAGATATTTAACGTAGAATTACTTATTTTGACGTTTGAAACACACCCACCCAGATGAGATTGGCAGATACCACTCGAAATTCACCCTAATGGTGTGGAATATCTACCGTGAGTACCTGCCAAAGAGAAAAGCGTTTAAACCTTAAGCCTACCCGAGTATGATTTGGCCAGCCCAAATTTATAATACAATCGAGAGAGAATCTGGAGTATGAATCTTATTAGTTTCGAGCCAGCATTCTCTCGTCTCAAACGGGTTGAGTGACCAGGCTACGCAGAATTTCCTTGGGAGAATGACCCGAAAAGTTTACCACTGAACCATTCAAGTCCTCTTGCAGTAATAATTGGCAAGATAATGGCAGTATGCAGGGGAAATGAGGCTTGTGGCCTTTCCCTTGGGTGTTTATAGTCGGGAGTAGCGAGAAGATCCCAGTTTCAAAACACTAGAAGCACGGTAAGAGGTGAACGGATCCAAACTACTTATCCTCATGCCTGTGAAGATTGATGAACGGACACTCCCAAAGTAATCCTATTTAGTGGTTAAATTTGTCGGCACTCGGGATCCAGCATGGGTGCTTCTGACAAGTCTAGATATGTGGGCTGAGGGTTGGCACCTGCGGCCTGTTTGTTTAGTTCGCATTAGACCGTCATAGTCTGTCTCGGCTAGTCTCCCACTGGGGCCTAATTATTGGCTGCCTTAAAACCGGCCACACATATCATTGGCGCACTGACAGAACGCGGTCAGCGTGACGTGCATTGGTTACGGAGACCAGCGGAGCTCATTATCAATCGTTCTCCGGCTCAAAATATTAGGATATTGAGTCAATCAATCATGCATCCATGGGGAAATCTCAAAAGCTTTGTCTGTCAAAGCATACATCCGTCATCCATACTTACTAGCACTGCGAGAGATATGGTTTGGTTGTGCTAGATTCGAACTGGTCCTGTCGTTTTGCTAATGGGAAAGACGTCTAAGCTGTCCATGCTCCACTCGAGTGATGAGCCTGAACAGTATACCACTGAGCCATACAGCCACGGTTCTATTTAGAGTATCACCTGCACTCTGGGAAAGTGCGTTGTAACTTGTACGGTGTTTACTGTGAAGCAATCTTTCTCAACGGTCCAAATAAGCATGCCATTCAGAATTGTAGCCAAAATGAGTTCCATATTATCCGTCTATGCAGACATCTCTGGTAAGTTTCCCAGCACTATACTCATCAGATTTATGCGCTACAATCCGAGTGATGCCGCAGTTTTAGCGTCGTCGGTTGGCGTTTGGAGGCTAGTTGAGGCTATGAATATGCCGCCGGGGATGCTAGTCATGGAATTGGGAAGTTCGGGGATGATGCTGGCAGACTCGATAAGATCATGGTCGGAATCAATCAAATTGGGAATAAAGAATAGGAGTGGTTAGAACCACAGACTCATGGCTTCGGGAGCCAATCTCTGTGTCGCAAAACTTGCCTAAAATTATTCAGAGGATGATCATTTCAGTCACAGATTCAAAATAGATGGGAATGATGAGTATTTGGGGCTTAAACCCGCTACCTTTGACATGCAGCTACAATCGTGGTCTGAAGGATATAGTTTCTTGCGGATTGTACGGGAATCATAAGATGCGATACGAATCTACGAAAGTTGAAATGGGAGTTACCAGAAAAAGAAAGTCGAATTCTTGTTCGGATACTGTGGAAAGCTTCCGCGAGACGCTTGTGCCCTGTTTACCACACTCCTAGCTCGTCTTGGGCCAGTCTCGGCCGCTGCCGGCACCCACTTATTTCTCACTACGCTCGACTACAAATCTGCAAATCCCATGGTATCTGAAGGGGCGGGCAAATGGACAAGGATATTTTGAATCAGATACTTTCTGCTGTATCATGCCAGCTTTGAATTTTCCGAGACGAGACTTGGGAGTGGAGAGGATGTGAGACACTTGGTTAATCTCCTAGGCTACAACACTGACATGACTTTGAAGGAGCAGCGAGTTTGAGTCATTTTGGTACATGGCCACTTACGGAATATGGCTGGGACAGATAAAAGCACCTTATAAGTTGTGGTTGGATGTGTTAATTTTCGACAGAGATGATGATACATGTTAAATTAGTCCTCTTGTCAGTGGCTGATTTACAAGAATTATCATCCGTTATAGCCAGACGCTCGTGTCATATTATATTTTGGTAAGCAGGCAGGACGGAGGGACGGGTGGATTTAAATGACTAGACGGACGGTTCTCAGTGAGGGTTTGATATAACGAGCCAGTCACTGGACTCCGAAATAGATTCACGTCGGATGAAAGCTTGAATTCTTACCTGAACTGGGTCTCTTAGGATCGCTAC